ACACACACACACACACACACACACACACACACACACACGGGTTTGTCATAAACATCCCAGTTAAAAGAGTCGTAACAAGCTTGGCCAGGGAGTGACACCGCGTTACTTCTATTGGCCAAACAGACGACATGACGGTATATGTCGCATTCTCTCCGACAGAATACCAGGCTGTTTACCGAACTCTTGATTACATGACATCCTACAGTTTTGTCCTTGCGGACAGCTGGGGGTTGGGGAGGGGGGGATTAGAAAATTCGAAAACAAACTAAGTTCGATAACAACAGAGCTGCAAGCGCATAGTTTTTGATTACCAAAATCTGCGCGAGATACGTTGGGATATTTCTTTTCAGTTCTTCTTAAAAGAGATTGCTCTAGGAGAAATTGCATATCTGAAAGCGTACCGATGCATAAGCTTCCCGAACAAACACATCAAATAAATGAGAAACGGGTTTGAAAATTGGTTTCCAAAGATTCACTTTTAAAAAATACGTTTTACTTGGCAGCAGGTCTTTTTGGAGAACAAGCACCGTACAGCAGTGGCAGTTTTCTCACTGTTGTTACGTCACACGGGTGCAACATTGGGTTGATGCTGTATTTCGGGGTGGTATGAATTCTCTTTTTCCAAACCTTTTCATTTCGAAAAGTATAAGTTAGTTCGTCACATGGTGGGACATACGCCTTTAATTTTGTAATCAGAGCATTACATTTTAAATCATGATGTGAAAAGCTAGTTTTGAAAATGGCGTGCCCTTTTAGTACTGAAACCAAAAAAAACCCGAGCCCAAAAACAATAAATAGGTGAGATGACATGATAACCATGTAACAGATAACGCGATAATGACGCGCGGTAAAGCGTTCACAAACAATTGCCATTTTCGCTTTCAGTCGTACCCAAGGATGGGAAAGAACTTTGCCTTAAGTCACATGACGGGCTAAAAGGCCAAAGAAGGGAACATGGCCTTTTTAAAGGTTTAGAGTGTAAACTTCCATCTGGTTTTGCCTTTTTTCTCGTGTTTTCTGATAACTGGGCTTTGTTCTTAAACACGTATAATATCACGATTAAAAAAGACAAACCTGCTTATAAAAGTGATATTCCCCAGATGTAAACCTTTCCAAATCTGTAGAAACCATTGCATGGATTTAATTAGTAGTTATGAAGGGATCTTCTAGAATACAGCTAACAGGTGTTTATAAAAGTATTGATATGTTAGGACAAATTGATTGACAACCAGACATTGTGCAAAAATTAGAGACTTTATATTCGACAGTTTATGAAATATTCGAAAATACTTTGCGCTACGAATTTTTGACCGCACTATATATTATAGGAAGATAGGGGCGAGAGCAGGTGACAGAGCGGGACTAAAGAACCCGAAAGGAGGAGAAAGGAGAACATTTTAGGTAGGAAAATGCTTCGTCGCTGTCAGGTTTCGAACCCGGGACCTATTGAATGCGAGGCAAACACGATACCACGAGAGTTTGAAAATGAGCAAATTTACTGTACAGTTCTGGAGAATTATTTCTTTTTAGTTTTTATTCTACTTTCTTTGGTTCAGTTCAAACAAGCAAAACTTCCTTTTGAAGACATGATAATTGGAAATTCCCAAAACCGAACAGGGAGCCGTAATAATATGTAGAGAAGAAAAAAAACTACTTCCTTTTATAGATCTGCCTTTAAATTACAAAGTATGACGATATTTGTACGCGTCACACTGTAAGTAATCACATCTTCTTAGTTGTTACATTAAAAAGAAAACAATTCCAAAGAGAAAACATTTCTAATTAACTTTAGGGCCGTCATCATCATCATCCAGTGCCAGATCTGCGACAGACATCGGCAATCATGGCTCTCCATTCACTCCATTGCTCAGATGCTCTAAAAAAAGCTACGTTTCCCTGATCTTTCCCTGTTACCCATTTGTTTAAGTTCCCTAAGCATGTTGTTCTGGGCCTTCCACTGCCTCACTTGCCCTCAATTTTGCCTGTGAGAGCTAGATGTTCAAGACCCTTATGTCTGTTTATGTGTCCCAAAAACTGCATTTGTCGTTTCCCGATTGTTTTTAACTTTGAGCTTCATCAAGCACTACCTCATTTGATTTCTTTTCCTTCCACGATACTCTTAGCAGTCTCCCAAGAAACCACATTTCTGTTGCTTCTATTTTACTTCAGGGCGTAACCCATTAAATTGAATACATTTCACTTATTAGGACATTAAGACAAAACAGGGGGCTCTCGTGGCCTAGAGGTTAAGGTGTTGGTCTCTCATTCAAAGGTCCCGGATTCGAATCCGGGTAGTGACCGAAAAATTTTCTTCTGTAAAATTGTCTCCTTTCACCTCCTTTCCTGCTCTCTAGCAATGTTCTATCGTCTGCTTTGGTTTCCACTTTCTGTCCCCACTCCCTCACCTCCTTTGCCCCCTCCTCTGGGCTCCTGACTCTTTCTGCAGCCTTTCTACTGCTACTCCTTGGCTCCTCTTTACTGCTGTCTTTCTGCCACACCCCTGATCTTCAGGTAGGAAAGATCTACACCTAGCCTTCTCGGACAAGGGCGAAAAATCTCGGAGGACCCGTGTGCAAGTTGCGCACGTTAAAGATCCCTT